TTCTCTCGTCTGATTTTATCTCCGGACATCCCACCTAATCGTATTTGCGCCGGCTAAGGTTCGGTGCTGGATTTCAATCTGGTGAACTGAATCTGCGAATCTCGTCCCCTGAGGTGTTTAAATGGCCGGGATCTTGAATAAACTGCGGAATCTAGATGCATATCCTAAGATCAATGAAGATTTCTACAGCCGTACATTATCCGGCGGCGTTATCACTCTCCTCTCCTCCGTTGTTATGTTTCTTCTCTTCTTCTCCGAGCTCCGTACGTTTAAACCTCTAAATTTCGCTTCCAATTTTGTGAATTTTCCATGAATTTGCATCTTTAAGCTTCCATGTCGGAGTTTCGATTTTGAAATTCTTTGATTTTGTTGTTTAGGTCTTTATCTTCATACAGTCACAGAGACGAAGCTTATAGTAGATACTTCAAGGGGAGAGACGTTACGTATCAATGTAATGTTATGCTTGATCTCTCTTATTTCAGTTTTTTCATAGTGATTTTGACTTGTTTAGTGTTTATATTGGATTAGATCTCTTATTAGTTTCATTGATTGTGCAGTTTGATATAACTTTTCCTGCTCTAGCATGTTCGATTCTTAGTGTTGATGCTATGGATATTAGTGGAGAGCTGCATCTTGACGTGGTATGTTTGAATTCTCTATTGTATTAGTTTAGTGACTCTTAGTTTTTATGCTTGAAACATGATATAAGCTTGTTATATGTGTGAATTACAGAAACATGATATCATAAAGAGAAGATTAGATTCTAATGGCAACACTATAGAAGCAAGACAGGACGGAATAGGCGCTACTAAGGTTTGCTCTTTTGTCTTTCTGGACTGGATTATCAATGATTTTTTAAATGGAAGATTGAAACTGTTTTGGCATACTTGTCATTATATATTCTGGATTCTATAGTCATTAGGCTAGGATTAAGCTGCAGGCAAATGGAAAATTGAATAGATAGAGTCAAGATCTGAAACCGGTTTGTTTTTAGTAGCACTGAAACGGGTACGGGAACTAGATACTAGAAACGGATACGGAAACGGGGGACGGGAAACGGCAAAGTAAAATTTCATAGATACGGGTACGGCATGGGTACTTCAATAAACATATAAGAAAAGGTACCCATACCTTCAGTGAGAGGTGATTAGAAAAGCTAATGGAAAAAGGAGAGCGGCAAAAAGCGCTTAGAAAGTAGAAGAAACGTGAAGAGATGAAAGTATGCTTTTGATAATAGTGCTCGGAATGAAATGAAATGGATGCAAATATCAAAATTTCGATGTTATCTTCCTCCGAAGCATCTAGAGATGCTATTAAAACACTAGGGGTCTAATAGTCCCAACCCTTTCGTCTCCATAATTGCTTGCTGTCCCGTCTTGCTGGAAACGTCTTGGGGACATTTCGGAGCCGTCCCCATACTGTCCCCGTTTCAACGTCCCTGGTACGGGGACGGCTACCAAATAGAAGTACCCGTGCTTCCTGCCTTGTAAAGTCTCATTCTTTTTTTGTGCTTGTGCAGATTGAAAAACCACTGCAGAAACATGGTGGTAGGCTGGAACATAACGAGACTTACTGTGGTTCTTGCTACGGTGCTGAAGCGGTAATTGTGTTATCTTTCTGTCTTTATGGAGCATTACATTCAGATTACTCTTGATTGTTTAGTGCTAGTCAAGAGGTCATAATGGTTTAAACAAAAACAGATGCCACAGCGGATCTTGTTTTCTGTATAACATATACTTAGCATTTCAGGATAGTTGATGCTGCTTTTTCAGTCTGGCTTTCCTCTATCTTTGAGCTTTCATGTGACGAATGTTGTTTTGCTTACAGGAAGAGCATGACTGCTGCAATTCATGTGAGGATGTTCGTGAAGCATATAGAAAGAAAGGTTGGGGAGTTACAAATCCAGATTTGATTGACCAGGTAATTTGCTGAGAAATAGGTTCTTCGCCTTTTAAATTTCTGGCATCAGTGTTTCATTGCGGTAGACGGTAATAGCAAGTTTAGTTTCATTTTCTTGCTTTCTTTTTCCGTCTTCCTCTTCTGCTCTGTTAGAGTCTCAAAGGCTTGTGAGCATTTGTTTATTTTGTATGCACTTGTGAGGCTCTAAACTGAAATTTATATGCTTCGGGGAGTTTCTATCTTCCAACTATGAGCTAAAATACGTTTCACTTATCTTTTTCTGATTCAGTGTAAACGAGAAGGTTTTCTACAGAGAGTAAAGGATGAAGAAGGTGAAGGGTGTAATATCTATGGGTTCTTGGAGGTAAATAAGGTGGCTGGGAATTTCCACTTTGCTCCTGGGAAAAGCTTTCATCAGTCGGGCGTGCACGTTCATGATCTTCTTGCTTTTCAGAAAGACAGTTTTAACGTAAGAAAGGACTTGTCCTATTGACTTCAATTCATTCGTTATGCTTCTAATTTTATATAATTCAATATGTTGTGTCTCCCTGCAGATAAGTCACAAGATCAATAGACTGACTTATGGGGACTACTTTCCTGGTGTCGTTAACCCTCTTGACAAGTAAATGGCCATTCTGGTCTCTTCGATTCACACACTATTTATTTTGTCATACTCTCTTACGTACTTATAATTGCAGAGTCGAGTGGAGCCAAGACACACCTAATGCTATGTACCAATACTTCATCAAGGTTTGTTCCAAGAGAAACATTATATTGACTATATTCGTCTTTAAAATACCCGTGTTGACTCTATTCTGGTTTGTCTGCTTTCAAAAGGTTGTACCAACAGTATACACAGATATCAGAGGACACACAATTCAATCAAATCAGGTGAGGCGAGGCTCTTAATTGTTAGACCTTATTATCCATTCATTCTCATCCTCCTATGATCTTAACTTAAAAGTAAAATGGGCAGTTCTCGGTGACCGAACACGTAAAGAGCTCAGAAGCGGGTCAGCTGCAATCCTTACCCGGAGTTTTCTTCTTCTATGATCTTTCTCCTATCAAGGTAAGTGTGTTTGTGTTTGAACTCCAACTCTAGAGAACGAAAAAGTATATTCATAATCCTAATATTGATGTGTTGTTTCGGCAGGTAACATTTACGGAGGAACACATATCGTTCTTGCACTTCTTGACAAATGTTTGCGCCATAGTCGGAGGTACATCTCTAATCTCTTATATACCATAAGAACTCACTATAATCTCTCTATATACAATAAGAACACTTGTTCGTTGATGTGCATGATTAAAATCCGAAACAAAACATGTAAAAATGGCAGGTGTTTTTACAGTATCCGGGATAATAGACGCGTTTATATACCATGGTCAAAAAGCTATCAAGAAGAAGATGGAAATTGGTAAATTTAGCTGATCCCTTACTTTTTGCTTACCTTTTGGGGTTTGGTCTCTCTCTTTTTTTGTTTTGCGGATAATACGATTCATACCCCAACGCGTCAAAATGTAATATGGTATCATTTATTTAATTCTTTTTGTTAAGCTGACTATATAAAATATATACATTGGTACGTTACACTCTTTTAATGAAAATTGAAGGATAAGTCTTGGGTTGTATCAATCCAGCTGTTGACAGCTCCATGCGTGCGTTACAATTATCGTCTCTTGACTTTTTGTCTTTTGAAGATATCATGGGTTTTGAATCTAAAGTTAAGTTTGAGTCTATTTTTGAATCTAGTGTATGGATTCAATGAATGGAAAAAGAACAAAACAATCTCCATAAAAAACGCTTATAATACCAAAAATCGTTATTAGTGAATCTATTCGTTTTTATTGCAATTTCATGATTTGTTTAAACTTGACACAAGCTCTCCGCAAATTACCCGAATTGAAAGATTTGAACCAGAACCAAACTGAAAAAGCAGTTCGGGTTGGTTTTCCATCTTCTAAAATATCCGATTGGGTCTTGTCTTCAGATACTTCGGATATCGGTTTGAATAGGATAATATCCAAGAACCGAACGTGGCATCCGAATATACCTGAGATCTATTCAAACTATCCGAACCGACCTGAACACGAAGGGTACCGAACCTGAACATGAACCAAAGTTTTAAAATACCTGAATGATACCTCGAGTCATAGTATCGAATTACCCGAAATCCAAAATATTCGATCCGAACCCAAACTGATACTCAAATTCTGGCTCTGAATGTTTACTAGTTTTTAAGTGGTTTTTAGGTTTTAGATTTTGGTTTTTGATTCTTAGTTTTTGGTTTTTTGCTATAAATATAAAAATTAATTAAAAAAAGATTAAAAAATCCAAAATGAAATATAATCTCGTTGAAAAAGGAAGTTTTCCACAAAAATTATGGTTTTTAGTTTCTTTTTAAATCTTGGAGAAACCACTCAAAAATTAGTTTACCTAAATTTTAAGGAATCTAACTTTTTAAAATTTTGAATGGTGAAAAATTAGATTTTTCCATAAACAAAAACCAAAAATCATTAAAAAAACTAGTAACCCTCTATTTTCCTTTGTTTTGGCCCCTTGTTTCTCTATTAGCAGGGACATTTTTATTATCCAAGTCTTCCTTTCTCTTTTGACAAAGTTTGCTCTTTAAAACTAACTTTTGTCACCGTATTTGGGAAAAGAAAATTCTAATCTTGTGTTTTAAAACTAAATTGGTTGATAAAAATTTTAATTATCATCTAAAACTCCGTCTATTCTAAAGAGAAAGTATGGGAAAGCTGTCAACGTAGGTTTAACTTTGCATGAGGTTTATCATTTGATACCACCTAAAGTTTCACTTAAAGGGTCCTTTTCTTCCACTCTTGTGTTTCTTTTTTGAGTACTTCTTCGAAATTGGACTCTATATGGTTCCCTTTTAGGCTAATTTACTTTTTAGTCATTTCTAAGCTAAGCGCAATGGTCCTGTCGCATAATGGAATTTCACGATCCTAATGTTTTACAATATCTTTTCGTTTTTGTAAGTTCTATTATCACAATACATTTCCGAAAAGGTACTCTCTCTATAATTAACTTTTATTTCTATGTGTAGCAATACTAATGAAAAAATGAGAAAAGAAGATATACTAACCAAATTCATTTCAATTAAGAGAAAAGAAGAGAGATCTACATAGTACGGCATGAACAAAAAAGCTTAAGCTGTCCATAATTTACACACTTGCATTACATTCATACAAAATGCTAAATTACAAATTTTAAGCACAGCTAAATAACACTAAATTTTAAGAACAAAATACAAAACATATTGAATTAAAATAAATAAAAATGAATAGAATCCTAGTTTTTCATGATAAAATTGAAGCCCAATCAATCTCATAAGAAGGACACTTGCCGAGCATGAAATTTTCATTCCACGGCATCTCCGGCTCTTCGCACATCTCCTGCACCATAACATCCGACGTCGGCGAACCCGACCCGTCACTTTCACCGGACCCGGAATGTTGTTGTGGCGCTGCCGGCTGCTCAGCCGAAGAAGCCGCGGCTTTAGCTCGTTTCCTCGATGGCCTCTCTGTTTTGCCCGGCTGATTCTTCGGCTCGGCTAATATGGCTTCCAGCTTGGCGTCAACGGCAGCTTGAATAGGTCCGTATTCGCCGGAATCCCCCGGAGACGAGCCAGTTTGGTAACGGAGAGCTGGAAAATTAAGCCGAGCCGAGTCACCACGAAGCTTGAACGCGGCGCGATCATAAGCCAACGCGGCTTCTTCAGCCGTGTCGAATGTTCCTAGCCAGAGTCGGGTTCGGTTCCTGGGTAAACGGATCTCCGCGACCCATTTTCCCCAGTGCCTTTGCCTCACTCCTCGATAGAGTTTGGCGGGCTTTGAAACCGAACCCGAGGCCGGACCAGGTTGGGTTAGAAAACCTGGTTGGCTCGGGTCAATAAAGTTTAGCATACAAGTGTTTTCTTGATGAGAGTAAGTGATATTGTTTTGGTAATGGAACTGAGACTGGTAGTTTTGTTCAAGAGAATCGGGTTGTTGAAGATCCGACCCGAATGATGGATAGGTCATGGATCCGGAATAAAGATCCGGGTAAGAGGTTGTGGAATGTGAAGGGAAGAAAGATGCATGAGGATTATAGTAAGAGGAAGAAGAAAATGGGTCGTTTGGCGCAGACGCAAACGCATCGTTTGAGGACGCAAACGCAGAATCTGAGGCAGACGTGGAAGCACTTTTGTAAAAAGGTTGAAGTGCTTCCATAAGCTCGCCGCCATGGCCACCGCCGAAGAAATCTGCCATCGGAGTTCCCTGAAATACAAAAAAAAATATACTACAAAAAATACAAGATTAATAAATAAAAAATATTAAATAAAACCTGTCTTTTTAGAAAAAATTCAAAGACTGGTTTTTAGTTTTTTACAGAAATAAAATTGATCAACGAGGTTTGAAATAAGCAACCTCCATAGATCAAAACTAAAACAAATTTATCAACAAAAAATAAATTAAAAAAGAGGATCAAAACTTGAGGGAACTAAAAAATGCCCATGAAGTTGATCAACTCTGTAAAAGAATAAAATTAAAGAATATTAATTGACAGAAAAATTCATAATATTTTTTGGAAAACAATGAATGATGGATCTCGTTTTCTTGAAACCACTTTCAAATACAAATTTTAAACAAAAGTTTGTCGTTTTAGATGAGTTTTGGCAAAATATAAACTCGTAAAGCAACACTTCATAAGAAAATCGTGATTTGTGTTTTCCCAAGAAAGACGACAGATGATTAAACAGGACAGGGAAGAGATTATATTTTTGGTTTGAAGATGAAACGAAGCAAAGAAAACAAGAAGAGAGATAAACCCTAATTTCACTCAAAATTTAATCTCTCAATCTTTTTTTTTTTCTCTCACCCACACTCACTCTCTCACACACACTCTCTCTCTCTTTTGGAAGATGCTCTCAACCTCACCTTGGAGATACCCACCCAACTCTCACCGTTTATATAGAGGGCTCGTTCAATGAAGAAGTATTAAAATATTGTTTATACATCAATAATCCTAAAATAATGTATTTGACTCCCTCTATATAAGATACATATTTGAATATATTAAAAATAGAAGTATTAAATGATCTGGATAAAAGAAATTAAAAGCTGTTGACAAAAAAAAAAAATAGAAATTGAATATAAATGTTGTAAACCAAGTCGCCTTGGTCCAGTGGTAAAGGAGAGAAAAGTCTCTGCTACCTGGGTTCGAGTAGCATTGGCCACCGGGGTTCGAATTCTAACATAGTTTTTCCGGGCCCAAGGATTAGTCTTTGGGCCTAGAAAGTCTTTAGGATCACTTGAGTTATAAAAAAAAATGTTTTAACTAGAGAAATGTTGCAAAGAATAGTTATGATAAATGTTTTGGGTGGGGATGTGCCTTTAGTCAAGTGGTTAAGTCCATTTGACTCCGCCTTCCCGCCGGAGTTCGACTCCACTAAGTCGCGTTATCCCGCGTAGTAAGGATTGACTATGGATCGGGCCTTGTCGATCCAAAAATGTCAAAAAAAAAAAAAAAATGTTTTGGGTCAAAACCCACATATACATATCTACGGTTAAATATGTACTTCTTGGAAGACCATTAGCTAGTCTTGTTAGACTAGCGAATACTGTGGGCAGAGCTGGTCTAGGAAGAAGCATATCAAATCTAAACTTGCGGGCTTGCGTAAAAATAAGTAGAACGTACGGTTATTTTGGAAACATATCATTAGTTTGAGTTAAAACTTTAACATTCGCACAGGGCACTTGGACTCGTGGAGACTGAAGATTCCATGCAGAACAGAAGTTAAAGGTACATTAGGGCATAGCCAATGAAACCAGGTCACATGTCTTTAGTGCCACCACTTGGCCGCAAAATTTTCTATTTGGCATCTATTCTCATTTCTCTGCCATTTTTGCGGTGTTAACGTTTCATTTATTTTTTATTTTTTTTTTTGGCCACAGTCGTAGAAAATTAGTTGGGAGAAAAAATAAAAGTAATCTTAAGTACTTCTATTTGTACTTCTATTATAGGATTAAGTTACTACATTTGTACAAATAGATATATCAAAAACATTTAAGACCAATTTTCATGCTAGTATATATATATCTATATAATATCCAATTCTGAATATGTTAAATAGTTCGTGTTATTCTGATTTTGAATACGTTTTTAAACTAGAAAAATAGTGTTCTAAAGCCAGCAAACCATTTCACATACTTTTTAAAAGGTTTTGTAGTATTACTCTTTAGCTTTCATTGAATTTGATTTGTCATTGAGGCGATTGATATTGTGTTTTTTTTTGTGTGGTTCATTTTGGAGGTATTTGGCCGTTAAGAATATCGTTTTAAGACAAATGTAAGAACGACTACTCATAAACGTTTTACATTTGGATTTTCTTCCAATTAAATGGATGATGTTATGAGTAAGAAGGACGAGTTGATTTGATAAATATTTGGCGGAGGTCTTCTAGTTAGGGCATACAATTACTTGTTATCCGGCTTGTATCTGCTACTTGCCTCGAATCTGGTTTGAAAAAACAAATATTTGTTTTAGACAAATCGTGTAACAAGTTAGCAAATTAGATTACTTGTAATTTGTAAGTTCAAGTAACAAATAAAAAAAATATACTCCCTCCGTTTCATAATATAAGTCGTTTTGGAGAAAAATTTTTGATTCATAATATAAGTCGTTTTCAAGATTCTATGCACTTTATATATTACTTTAATATTTTATAATTATTTATATTATGCAGTCTCTTTTATGATTGGCTGAACTTTTTAAAAGTAGATCTTCTTAATCTGCGTGTTTAAAGCTAAAATGACTTATATTATGAAACGGAGGGAATATCATATTACTTGTTCGGCCCGTTACTTTTTACTTGCTAAAATTTATTTGATACTCGTTACTTGTCATTAAATTACTAATGCTTAAATTATTATAGTAGATTAATAGTCTTTAAATTATCATAAATTTTGTCTTGTGCAAATACTTATACAAAGCAAGTCGGGTCGCGAATGTTCAAATTAGCAAATAAAATTGCCTTGTGCCCAACTCTACTTCTAGCAATACTTATATTCTTTTAATAGGCACTAACCCTTTTGATCTTAACATAAGTAATCTTAAGTTTTCTAAAAGGTGTTTTATTTACCTTCAATTCGGTAATTTTGATTGTAACTACATTTGATAATTTTAGATTTTTAATGGCTTAATGCTCCAAGCCTCCAACCGTCAACAAATACCGTTGGAATAACTACAACGGTGATAATTAAGTGATAATTTAATTTAATAAATGGAATAATACATACCTTCTTCAACACATGATTTAAGTGATAATTAAGTTGCAAAGATAGAAGAGTCACGTGAGGCGAAAGCATCACATGATCTCAGGCGCAATTTGCTGCAAGTGGGGAATTGGACTTTACGTTGGCGTCGTCTCGAAATCAAGAAGACTCACGCTTGGCCTCGAAATCAATTCACTCTCTCTTTTCTTTTGCTTAGATATCCTTTTAACTTACACAAAATATTTACATTTCCCCTATAACTTAACTATTATTATGACATTACACCCTTTAGTAGAAGATATCCTACTAAAGGGAAGATACCCTTTAGTGTGATTGGTATTCTCTAACTTTTGTGGTAAGAGAAGTACCACATTTGTTTATAACCGATAATAAAAAAAAAAGTATACGAAAAGTGGACAATATTATCAACATTCTAAAGTACCAGCATGCTTTAAAGCGGTACTAACATGTGAGAGGAATGATACAATGATTAAAGTGTGAAAGGTAGCCAAAATAAAAATAAAAATAAAAATGAAAGGATAAAATAAAATCTATATGAATATTAAGAGATTTATAGTTTCTCATAAAATGTTGGTGCTCTTCTTTATATATATGTTCAATTTTAGTTAAAGCGGTACACACCATTTCATTCTAACCTCAAAATTGTTTCTCTAAAACTTTTTATTCCTTATGATATATGTACGTGTATATAACATTAATTCAAAAACTAAAAAAAAAAGAGGCAGTTTTGTTCTCGAAAAATAGTCAGCTAGCTTGCTGCCGTAATTCTTAAAAATAGTAATAGAATTAAGGAACATTTTCTGCTAGGAGTTGATTTTTCCTTAACTCTTGTTTTTACTGAACTCATGGTTGTCTTTGCCCTTTTGATGTCGAATTCCCTTGTAATCTTGTTCATATAACGATCTTGTTGAAACACTACTTAGGTTTCAGCTCTGCTAACATCTTTCAATTGCATTACGAGTTTGGTTCCTATTTTCTTGGATAAAACAATCCGCAATCGCATAAGCAATCTTTGAAACATGGAGACAGGAAAATATGAGGACCTCCTCATGCTTTGGTTCTCTTCTCGAATTTAATGTATACATCATAAACTCTATATTTCTTTTCAACTAAGCCACACTTGTTGTAACAAATGTTTTTCTGATGAATAAAATTTAACATTCATTCAAAAAAAAAAAAAAAAAAATTAAAGTGAAAAGACAATCATGATCATGAGATATGGAAAATTTTGGGTGAAAGGAGAATTAGTGTTAATTGAACATGATTCTTGGACCGTGTTGGACGGGAGGCCCCAACACCAATATCAAAGTTTTCTACATTGTATTATATGATATATAACCAAGGACTTATTCTTCATTATTTATTAGATGATGGAGATACGATCATAATTGGCATCTTTATTCATTGCTAAACGCAATTAGTGACTAATATTATAAGTTATCTTTACCTTTCTATGGTTTGAAGTTTGAACATTCGAGAGGGAAATCAATTTCTTTCTATGCGATTGAAGTAAGTAAGTACATAGCGTGGGTTATGTATAATTTTGAAGAAACACGTATTTATTTGATAATTTAGAATTCCAACGTCGACACTCTCTCTCTTTTTTTTTTTCATTGGGTTTGGTGGTAAATTGGTGAAGACCAAAAACGCGTTATTTGTATTTAATTATAAGTCAAATGTGTCACACAACTTTTACCCGTTACTAATGAACTTTAAGATCTTTTTTTCCACTGACCACGTGGCCCCTTATGAATTTTAACAGTGTTAAACACATAAGGTTTAGTGAAAATAAATGTTTGTTTATTCTTTTTTGCGAAAAAAGCTTTCTTAGTATAATTTTAACATGTAATCATGAAAGAAAGCAACTAATTGACTACTAAACGAATCTAAAGTAAAAGAGAACTAGATCCTGACCCGCACATACGTGCGGGCTTTCATATTTTAAAAAATTTTCTAACAAATTTTAATTCAATATAGATTATTTGTTGTTTCTATGATATATATTTTAGTGTATTAGATCTGAATTCACACGTATGTGCAGAGATATCTTTATATATATAAATTTTTATATAGATTTTAAAAATATAAAATATTTTGTTGTGTTAGACTTCATAATAGTATAAATATTATATAGTTAGAGTAATGAACGAAATTCAGTTGCGTTAGTGCATAGTTATATTTTAAGATTCGGACCTACACGTACGTGTGAAATTATATTTAAGAAATAATTAAGATATAATTTAGTTGCAAAAGTTAAATGATGTTACGGTTTTTATTTTCTAAACTAATCAAAACATTTCTAACAGTTTGATTACATGTGTTATATAGGATATGGATTCGGTTTTAGTTTGGTTATTTCATGTATATTAGCTAGGCATAACTATATTGGAACGGGAAACCTATCCCGTCCTGTATCTGTCATAAATTCTTCGTTCCATAACCCGTCTCGTATACGTGAAATAAATATATGACGGTCCCGTATCCGGCATAAATAGAATATGTGTAAATGAAAACGTACGTACAGAATTATGTGTGTAAACAAATTTATTTTATATAGTGCTCATAAGCCGAACACATACCAGTTGGATATTTAGTTTGATTTTTAATTTATGTTCTCATCTCGTCCCGTCTCGTAATTCCTA